GAAGGAGGTGAAGATACTTCAATTATCTACTTCACAGACACCATTTTTAGCACATCTTTAAATTCCTCTGGAAGATTTCTACAGCAACTGCTAGCGCTCAGGAGAGATGCATTTCAAAGTTCTTGATAAATACTGCCACAGTGGCTCTCAACAGGTACCAATTTGCTCTTGGGCCCTACTCCAGCCACCCCCTAAACAGTAAGGTTGCCAAGTCATCTTCTGAAACACAAATTACATCAAGCTACTCTCCTGCTAAAATGCCACCATCTAGATACCTATAACCCAAAACCCAAACTCCCAAACCTGGCACACAGGTGCCTTCCTTCAGCCTGGCCCTGTGTATCCCTGACTGCCACTCCACTGACCAAAGCTCACAGCACAGCTCAGCCTGAATGAATCTCCTTTCCCACCCATCCCTTCAGCAGTACCTCCTGCTATGTCACCTTTTAGGAAACCTGCTACTGTCTGTCTCAAACACTCTTACTCATCCTTCAAAACTCAGCAGGAAATAAAGGGTGGGAGTGTGGGTGAAATCACATTTCATTCCCATTCATCTGGGGAGTGTAAGCCTCACTCTTTTGCACAATCATTTTGTTCCCTTCCATGGACTAAACTGTGGGACTAAAGCCCAGTATTAGTAACTGACTTTCAAGTAGCTAGCTGCTTAATTCATGGACAAGGAAATGTCAAACTACCAATGTAATGAGAACGCAACTACACATAACCCCCACTGCTGACCAAGTCTAGCCCCAGAACAATCTGTTGGTGGACACCAAGATCTCGAACCATAATATATAAAACCACACTCACTTTCAGGACCACACTTTTCTCCAGTTTTCTACAAGTAATCTGTAACCTGAAGAAGGTCATGCTCAGAAGCTCACTTACAGGTTGATTGTTTGGATTTTATATGTAAAAGCCTTCCATACAAATGTGCCAAAGTGAAGTGCACTTAAAACAAGTACTGGTCTGAACTATTTAAAGATAATCATGGTTTACTTAGCTCAAGCAGGAAATGAATGCTGAGATAGAAAGGGTGAGGCTCATTAAGGCTGGTAAAGGAATGGTCTGCCTTCACTCAGCACATTAGCAAGAGGTCACTGACTGATACAACAGTATCCTGAAACAAGATTCCTCTATCTGCAGCTAGTGTTTCTCACCCTTTCTTCCCACAGTCTCCTACAGGCAGATACTAATCTTTATATGCGCTCCTGATCACTCCGAACAAAAAAGAGAAATCAACCAGGCCTTCCTTCTCAGGAAGTAGAGAAAGACCCTGGGGAGGTAAAAAAGAAGACAAGAAAGAAGCCCTGAATTAGCTCAGTGTTCTGGGGATTAAAATGTACTAAAAGGCTAAATGTGTATGCATTTTCTTTTTATCAAAATGGTGACTTTAAAAAATCTAAATCACACAAAACTCTTCCAGCAAGAACAGGTAGGTGCAGCCAAGAAATGTTTGAAACAGATGACAAAGGGGACCTTGTCCACAGAATATTAAAATATTATTCAACTTCTAATAACTTCAAAGGGTGGTACTGGCAAAAGAACAAAGGGAAAGATCAATGGAACAAAATAGGAAGTCCAAAAACATAGTTTGGAATTCTGAGTATGGTGAGGATGGCATTTTAAAATGGTAGGGAAATGAAAGCTTACTCAACACACAGCGCTGAGACAATGTATTTTTGGAGGGAAAAGTGAGCTTTCAATGATCTACCCCTTCTAGAATCAGAAAAAAATGTTGCCTTTAAAAATCTCCCCAGGGCAGTAACTTTCTGAGCTTAAGAAGAAGGATCTAACATCACAAAGGGATAGATTATGTGTTACATAAACATGCAACCTCTGTATATCAAATAACTAAGAAAAAACACAAAAATATGGAGAAAATATGAATTGCAGTTATTTAACCCAAGACACAAGGAATTCAGGTTCCCACAACCTATTGATCATTAGTGTAATAAATTCACAGGAATCACGGTATCATTTTAAAGTGAAATTACCTAGAATACAGATAAATGTGCAGAGGAGTCAAATTATTTTCTAGTACCCATTACTAATTGCGTACTAGTGTCTGCCCCTCCCATCTGTAATGCTATGTCCCCAAGACTCAGGGTCTGGACCCACAGGACCCCTGAATGTATTTGCTTTAGAAAGGGACGAATCCCAAGCACATCTGAAGGTTTTCATGAACAGGACCACTCTTATGAACCGAACAGCCATGTGTCTACTCAGGGTATACAGAAGTTAGCTTTGGCAGGTTTAGAATCTGCTACACTTTTGAGTTTTTTTGCTGCTTGCCTGCTTTTTGCAATTTGTTTTCCGTCTGCTATTAGCCCGTCACAGCTCTGCCATCTCTTGGTGGCCCGTACCCCAACTTCAACATACAGCACATCTAGAAGGTACACGAAGTACATAAGTCTAGAAGGTACTAAAAGTACATAAAGATTGGGCTGTTCTATCATTAAAATGCAGTAATTGCAATGTGAACAGGCCTATCTTCTTGGATTTTTCAAGGGCTTTTTAGCTACCTTCTACTCAGACAGCCCCTGGCCAGAGGCGCTTGCTTATTACCAGTCCCTACGCCTGAATTCTGACATTTTCAGTACTGTCCTATACCACAACACCCTCATACTGAAAGTGATGTCATCTCATTCCTCCACAAACAAAAAAGTTTCGTGTAAAAATGAAAGAGTTTTTGTTTTGTTTTGGTGTGATGTTTTTGAGACTTTTAAGATAAAAAATTAATTTTCTTTTTAGAAATGTAAAACAAGCCACATTCAGCTCCAAACTAAGGTTCCTCATGTGCTAGAAGATTCAAGATCAAGCCCACTTTCCATACAAAACTGCACAGAATTTTGAACTTCAGAGCTCAGTGTGGACTTCTGGCCCAGACTGCAAAGCGGAACAAAATTATCATGAACTACACCCTATACCCTCCATCCCAATTCAGGCCTTCCCTAAAAGTTCCTTCAGGCTGAAATCATCTTGTGCCATCTCTATAGCCAGTTTAAGCACAAGGAGGCAGGCTTACAGGCAGGGACCCTAACCTGCAAGGATAAGGCCACCCTCAGGCTCTGGGTTCTTGGACCTCTTCAAATCAGATAAAGAAAAGGGCTGTGAGAAAGATGAAGAATTGACTTGGGACGTAGCACTTCCTGGAAGGGGTTTCTCTCTCAGACAGAAGTGTGCTTCTACTTTCCCCACTCACCTAAAAATAAACAATGAGATAAAGTCTTGACACATCCCCTACCCCTCTGAGAAGAGAGGCAGCAGGAGATGAGAAAGAAGGCCAGAAGTCAGAACATCAAGCCTGAGCTTTGGGTAACCATTGCAGAGTATGAAACAGTAGTAGTCTAGTTTGCATTACATTTTCTGAATGGTGCGACAGGGCCCCTGTTGATTTATATACAATTACTTTGTAAGCATGAAAATGCATTTGTTGGGAGCTAGGGATAAAGGGTCACACAATCTGCTATTTGAACAAACTACTTTAGTAATTGTTCCCTGAGCTGTGATTTCATATGGCCTGCCACCAAACTGCAGTCATGTGGATTTATTTGCAAAACCATAAACAATTTAGCAGGCTCATCCATTTCTAACATGGACAAGGGTGTGAAATCCCAGGTTAGTCATGGAACACCTCCATCTGTAGGTTCCCAAATCACTGCCTTAGTCTGTATCTACACTACCTGCATTCTAAGCTCTTCAGCAGCTCAGGACTGTTCTCGGCAGAAGGTGGGCTCTGGCCTTAAGCACGAGGTTCAGGGAAACATGAAGGAACGGGGATCAGCCTATTCCAAAGGCAGCCCTTCTCCACTGCTTTTTAATCTTTTTCTTAATCTTTACTTCCTCCCTAAAAGAAGCAAACACCTGTATACGCCTCTGCCTTTACAATACCTAGTGTCTGAAAATTTAGACCAACATTGCGTTGCCCTTAAAAGTTGATGCCCTAAAGGAACTGCTTACACACTAAGAACACACAACAACGAGCAAAGCCCTGCTCAGCAATGACTGCCCTAAAAGTTCCCTCCCAGAACACGTGTGCTCTGAAATCGTCCCCGACACTGGTTTGTTCTGTGGCTGGCTCAACTCCAAACTTTATCCATACACTAAGTGTTTCTGTACTTCACTCGCATAAAGTTTCCACCAAATCCCTTTCCTGAGTCGACAACCCTCTCTTACTTTGAAAGTGCAGGACTCCAATACAAATCTGACTCGTACCATGCCCGCCATTCCAAAATCATCTAAGACTACTGTGGCTAATCCCTTTGTTAATCCTGAGCATGACTGCAGCCACGTTTATGACTCATTTCGCCAACTAGAGCCCAGTTACTGGATAACATTTCGTACATCACTTTAACCGGGCTAATGAGTCTTCCATTGAATCGGCCCCGGGAACTGCCTTGCACCAAGGTCCTTTCTCTTCCTTCAACGAGCTGGTGAACTAACCGCACAGGGGGCACCCTCTTTCATTTAAGGAAATATAGCACTTCTAACGGTAAAACCTAACGTGCACTATGCAAAGGCTCCACCTAGCCAGATTCATTTACTCGGGCTCTAGCTTTCTGATGCCAAAGGTGCACATTTTAGAGAACCAAATTATAACCTCACTGCAACCACTATCACAGGTACACTACTGTGCTGTGAGTTTTCGCACAACACAGGAGGCAGCCCCGCTCAGGGAGGCCCTTTTCACCGAAGAGAAAGCTCGCCTCCCTACGGAAAGCTCAAGTACCCTGTACGGGGCCAGGGTGAGAGGCACCCGGAGGAGCCACCTCGTCCTACTCCATCTGCCCAGCCCGCGATCTAGAGCGTCGCCCCCACCATCCCGCCTCTCAAATCTGCTGCCCAGGCCGGGCATCGCCCGAGGGCACCCCGATCACCCAGGCAGCCCGGGTGTGGGTGTGGGAAGCGGGCTAGAGCGGGAGCCAAGGGGAGCCCGCAGGGCCGCCCGCCGGGATGCTGGATGCTGCTGGGCGGGCGGCGTCCGAGGAGGGGCTCACCTGTAGGCGGCCACGGCGCGGGTCTGCAGGTATTTCTGGGCGGTCATGACTCCCACGAAGATAAAGTTCCCGTCGCGCTGGCCGCCATCCGGGCCCGCGCCGTGCG